TTTATTTATTTATAATTTTAATTTTACAATATTAATATTAATATAATATAATAATAATATGTATATGGGTTTTTTTTTTATAAATGATAATAATAAAAAATAATTATTTATTAATTAAATCAAAAAAGTTTTCAAAGATTTTGCCATTGTTTTATTGTTCAATGTTCGAGACATAAAATAAATTAGAAAAACTCCTGACCGTTCAAAAATTAGCCAGGTATCTACCTGATTGACTGTTGAAAAGGTCACGAGAGATCCAAATAATGTGCCTACGCACAAAAGAGCCACGAGAGATCTCGGTAATGTGCCTACACGAAAAAGCCACGAGATCCCGGGCATGTGTCTACACGATCGACTATGAAAAAAAAACGCACATGAAATTTCAGAATTGTCAACAACCCCAAGAAATCACAGAATCTTTTCCAAATATTAATATAAACAACAACCCAGAATCTTAAATGACAGGCATAATGGGGATGTATTTAGAGTCGATCATTGCTAGTAATGGTTACATATGTTGCATAACTAAATTTTTTTAATTTATTATTAAACATCATATATATATGTATATACACGTAATAAAATTTTAGGGTTTTTTTTTAAAAATCACAAATTAGATGAATAATTTGCAAAAAAACATTAACAAATTATTCTTTCTTTTGAGCGTAGATTCTAATGTATCTTATATAGGTATTTTTCTGCTTAACTTCTTTCTTAAATAATCCGATCAAATCATCGTACTCTTCCACCGTACAACCCATGCTTTCAGATATTGAGATTCTAGGAGTTTTCCACATTTCAACAATATATTCAATTAATATATCACTAATTTTTCTGTAAGTTTTATTAATGATATCATTGGATTTTCTATTTGTTGAATATCCTAATTTGTATTCTTTGTATTCTTTTTTGAAATTTATTAATTCATCAGTTTTATAAAATAATTCTTCAAATTTTGTGTAAAATATTGAATTCATTTTTTTAGAATCAAGATATCTATCAACTTGATAATAATAATAATAATAATAATTAATAATTAAATAATAAGTTAGTTATAAATGTATTATTAACAATAATAATAATAATAACGATGACGATGATGATACTTACATGCTTCTCGTAATCTTTTGCCCACTGGACCTTCTCGATAAAATTTATTCTCATAAAACATTGCTTCTATCCATCCATTTGGTTTACAAACCCTGATCATTTCTTTTAAAACCTTTTCCTCCCAACTTTTTTCGTCATCATCATTTTTATTTATAATGAAATTAACATCTCTAACATAAACCAAATCAAATGTATCCGACTCAAATCTTAAATTATCTGAAATATCTGCTTGTAAAAATGTTGCATTAAATTGTTTAATAGATTTGGGAAACACAAGTCTAGTATCAATGCCAGTAAAATAATTCCATTGATTCTCGGTGGCCAATTCAATTATCCAGGCACCGTCACCACATCCTATATCCAAAACTCTTTTATTATTGTGAGCCCCTAATTCGATCGGTGAAGAGAAATTATTTTTCCATATGTATTTATGAACATGATGTAATTTCTGTGTAATCGATAATTTTCCTTCGTTAATATCATCAGGGAAAATATTTTTCATTTCATCATTAATTATTTCATTATCGTTGTTGCTGTTGCTGCTGCTGCTGTTGTTATTATTATTATTATTATTATTATTATTATTATTATTATTATTATTATTATTATTATTATTATTGTTATTATTATTATTATTATTATTATTATTATTATCATTATCATTATTATCACCATCAGCTTTACTACAAATACAACCCATTATTTATTATTTTTACAAATAAACGCGTTTTTTTTCTTTAATATATATCTTTTTAGGAAATTATTTTTTATTTGAATTTTAATTATATATATTAAAAAATATATATTTATTAAAAATAATTAATTAAAATTAAATTAGTTTTTAAAAAATAAACTTGAAAAGATAAAAAAAAATTTTTTTTAAAATATTATTTTTGGTTAAGGTAAAAAAATCTCTGGAATCTTTTTTAAACTGATTTATTTAAGCTTTATTTAAGCTTTTTCAAACTCTAAATAAGGACGAACCATTTTTACATAAATAAATTAAAGTCCGAAGATGTGGAAAGAAATCGCATGGCAATTTATATAATATATTTGGAAAGTTACACACATGAACAGAATTAAAATATTTCTTTTTAAAAAAAAATTTTTTTCTTAATAGATTTTTACAATGAACATATATATGGGTATATATGTTTACATATATAGATTTTTATTTTAAAAATTTAAAGATCTGGTATTTATAAATTATATTAATTAATCTCTTCAAACCACAAAATTAATATTCTTATATTAATCTTCTAAGAATCGACATTCTTTGTTTCCACCATGCATGCATATTAATAATATGCTTATCAATTTAATTTATACACACAATAATCTAACGATTTTAACAATTATTATTATATATTTAAAGTATTGTGACGTTTGGGAAAGTCTACTACATAAATTGTTTGTGTAAAACTCGAACAATAATTGTTTGTCTAGATTTAGATATGATATAACATATAATCATAGAATTTTATTTTGTGCATTTATCGCATCAAATCACGCACCCGCTGTATTTTTAAAAACGTGCGTGAAATTTAAATTAGCCAATCGGAGTTTCGTGTCCAAAACGACCTCGAAATTTCAAATAATTATAAATTCAAATTCACACGGTTTGCACAACATTAGATATGGGTCAAACACGCAGACGATCATATAAATGCCTAGTGTTTAAATATCTTATAATAATAATCAAAAGATAGTAAGATAAGATAAATCATCCGCATTTTGTATTATTGTTTCACCTATCCAATAAATAAATGTATGTTTTCATAATAAACAAGATGTCCAACACTATAAACCAGTCTGACCTTGAGCCTATTAGATTTTAAAACATTTTTGAACTAATTTAAATCACACAAATAGAGTCAATCTATTTTATTTTATTTTTTTGCGAGTCAGTTAATCGAAGAATTTTTGTATAATCTGATTAGTTATCATTAAAACCATAATTACAACAATAATTCAATATCGTCATTATCCATATCCTTATCTACAAGTTCTGCCATCACAACAACAACAACAACAACAACAACAACAACAACAACAACAACAACAACAACAACAATATTTTCATCATTTGTTCCTTCTGAAAGACGGTTTTCTAATGCTGCGGTAAAGGTTTGTAGTAAGAAGGTTTACTAAATAAGATTATACAATGAATATAATATGATTATTTACAACTATTTAACTTTATTAATTCAAAAGAATTCCTGTTTCCTTCCGAAAATCCCTTTCATATTTTCATAGATCAAATTTAACCGGTACTAGCACAGTTTCAGAGAAATAAATAAAGATTTGCGTCCTACGATCATATTGTTCCAAAACACTAATTAATGGTCTATTGTTCTTTGAAACGGAAAAAAAAATTCGTTAATAATTGTTGTATTTTAATTATCGTTTTAAAATTCTAATTATAAAAATCAAATTTTTTGATTTCGATAATCAATTGTGAAAGATATCCCGGATATCCGCAACATGATATTAATATAGCATGGATATTTGAGTCATGTAACTAAATTATTTCAATTGGGGGGGTTTTTTTTTACAATAGCCGTCTGTTACACTTATGTTCAGTGCGCATGTTGCTTATTAACAACTCTTCAGCTAATAATTTTCACCATTGACGTGCCAGAACATCTCAAAATGCTAACCTTTTATTAACTGAATTCTTTATAAGAACAATTCGTTTGTTATCAAAAGATTCGCGTAACAATTCGAATGTCCACCATGATAGTTTACATTTTATTAATACTAAAAGATGACTTTATTATAAAATGTATGTCCTCCAGATTTGTGACAATTTGGTCACAGAGCCATCCTTACCCTAGAGATAGGACCGTTGCGACTTTTCGTCTAACATGGCTGCCTTCTCTGGTCTGGGAAGATTAGTGAAAGTGTCATTGACGATGATGCAGTCTTGGCAAATTCCAGATCCACGCGCCTTCTGGAATTCAATTGCATCATCATATCTTTGGGTCGCCAGGTCAAGATTAGCCTTGTGTACATGAGGAAGATGTGTGAGAATGACTGTAAAGTGTTCAAGGTAGCGTGCGTGCTTCAACACTTGTAAAATTCCGATAATCAAACATTGCATATTTGAATTGTTTCTTTTTAAACGGTGTATTGCCTTGACATCTTGTAATTATAATAATATAATAATATATTAGTATTATTATTGATGATTACGCAAAGCAAAATAATATTATTATCAATGAAAATCTTGTAATTACCCAGCAAGATCTGCTCCGCGTTTTGATTTCCAATTAAAATATTTATAAGCTAAAATAAAAGACACCTCATACATATAGACATGTAAATTGGGCTTTCTGTTATCATTATATCAATTATATATAGTGTGTGAACTGTGTCTTATTATTTATTTAAATATATACCTTTTGATTTTGTATAGGGTTTCTTCTCTGGTATGCTTTTATAATGTAAATGAGGAATGATTGAACCTAATGAAATTAAATTTACTTTTAATAATAAATAATAAGGGTTGGTTTAATTTTATCCCCGCCGATCCTTATTTAAAATCAATGCAGATCACTCATTATTGAAAGAATCATGAATTAAAGTAAAGAAATTGATTGCAATGCAATGAAATATTCGAAAGTTTATATTTATAAATAATAAAGTAGAGATTCTTTTGTAAAAAGGTTCAAATTGATTATCTTTTTGAGATTCCTTTCAAAAAAAAAATTTCCAAATTAAGTAAATAGTGAATAAATAAAAGATTATAGATTATTTGATAATCACATCAATAATAATAATAACAGTAATATCTCTAATTCTTAACTGTTGCTCCTCTTTCCTTAGTAATTAATTTTTGAAGTATTTGATATTATTATTAGTAGTAGAAGTAAAGGAAATTTAATAAAATGGTGCATTATTAGTTTCTTTTTTTTTGCATTCATAAAGTTAATTTATAATAGTGATCAAAAATATTTATTTTTTCTGAATATTTTATAGGCAGGAGCATTAGAAAATGCCAAAAAAAATTTAGAAACAATAAGAGATGCTGAAAAAGAAAGTGATTTTGGTTATGTATATGGAGTTTCTGGACCTGGTACTTTTTAAATTGACTTTATTGTTGCCATTATGAAAGCTACTTCTTTAGCAATTTCATTTTAATTCACTATTGTAATTTTATTTAATTAATTAAATAGTTGTGGTTGCAGAACAAATGACAGGATCAGCTATGTACGAATTGGTAAAAATCAAACTGATTTTTTATAAAAATAATTATTTTAAATGTAATTATTGATTGATCAATTGATTGATATAGGTTCGAGTAGGTCATGAAGAGCTTGTTGGTGAAGTGATTCGTATAGATGGTGATAAAGCTACTATTCAAGTTTATGAAGAAACTGGTGAATAATCAATATATTTTACCTTTATTATTAAAATTAGCAGTATATATTTACTATATATCAATACATCATCAATCAATTAACCAATTATTCTTCAATGATAACAATAATAATGATTAGCTGGATTAACTGTTGGTGATCCAGTATTGAAGACAGGAAAACCTCTTTCAGTGGAATTGGGACCTGGTAATTATTGTTATAATTATCAATTTGTTGTATTTTCTATGATATAAATGAAACAATTAACATGTGTGTTTTTGTAGGATTAATGGCTAATATTTATGATGGAATTCAACGACCACTTAGAGTAAGATTATTAAATTAATAAATTTAATAAATTTTTTTAATCCAATCAATTAATTTAAGCCAATTGTTAATTGTTAAAAAAATTTTTTTTAGTCTATTCGTGAACTATCTAATAGTATCTATATTCCACGTGGTATTTCTACACCAGCATTAGATAAAAAAATTTTATGGGATTTTGAACCTTCTAGTTTCAAAGTACTTGCTTGCTAAATTAGATTTTTTAAAAAAATAATAATATGAAATTTATATCATTTAAAAAACTTGAATTTTGTAGTGTGGTGATCATATTACTGGTGGGGATATATATGGCAAAATTTTTGAAAATTCTCTAGTAAATG